GAGAAAAAAATTGCAGCCAAAATATTTTATATTGAGTTTTGTCTTCATATATAGAAAACTACATTTTAACTGGTATCCTCAATATCTCCCTAACAAGTCTTTGACTTTAAAGCTTTAAAACATGTTTAATTAGTAATTTTAGTATAGAGTGAAAAAGGCAACTGGGATGAGTGTCAGAACACCTTGTTCCTAATTTTGGATCCACTGTCAGCTAGTTGTAAGACATTGGACAGATCAGCCACGCAGATGATGCTTCTGTAAAACTTGGACGCTGTTGGATTATCTCCAGTTTTTAGAGTTTCGGACTCAAATCAGAGTTGTGCGTGAGTTCCTGGTTAAAACTACAGATTGACCATGTGCATTTAATTCGCCTTCTTTTTAAAATCTCTCAAGAAAGATGGTATTAAAGTACAAAAACAAAGAAACAAAGAGAGAAAAAAAGTATAGAAGTATGGTTAGTACGTTGTTGAACAAGACAGAGCCCACAGAAGCATGGTATCATGGAGAAGCCCGCGCCCCGCGGAGCACCAGTGAGGAACAAACCACTTCATGTAACAGGTCTCCGAGGTGCTCAAGGTTTGAAGACACCGAGTATCATGGAAGAAAGGAGCGTGGTGCCAGGCGGAAGATAAGGGGATTGAATAAAGATCTACAAAGGGAACTGGGGAACCTTGCTCTACAGGTCCTTCTGCCACAGGGTAACTTCATGGTACACTGCACGTACTCTCCCCCCCCAGCTCTGTGACAGTGCAGACAGTAGTCTCTGGAGAAAAAAGATTTAAAGGCCACAAGGAAAAAACCAGCTGGCCTCCTAATAACCCTACTTTGTAACGCCTCCAGACAGAGCTTCCAATATAATTTTATATCTCATTTTTAAATATGATTGGGCCTCCAAGGATTAGCAGACTTTTGAGGGTTTTCCAGTAAAGAGATACCAAAATGTAAAGGAATGAAGGGAACTCGTAAGGAGCAGAAAGCTGTAGAAAACTTCATAAAAACTAAAATTCTCTCGGAGAGAAGATAATTGCATCCGTAAAACTAGAACAGGATGCTGTTTCCAGAAACTGTATAGAACATGAAAGCTTCTTGAAATTAAAAATGTGATAAAATCAATCCAACAGAAAGGCTGAACAGTTGAGATGAAGAAATTTACCAGAAATTAGAATCAAATGATAAAATCAGGAAACATAGGATAAGAAAATGGGAGGTTCCTCAAAAAACTAAAAATAGAACTACTCTACACCCCAGCCGTTGCACTACTAGGAATTTATCCAAAGGATACAAAAATGCTGATTTGAAGGGGCACATGTACCCCAATGTTTATAGCAGCACCATCAACAGTAGCTAAATTATGTAAAGAACCCAAATGTCCATTGACTGATGAATGGGTAAAGAAGATGGGGTGTGTATATATAATGGAATACTACTAGACAATGAAAAGGAATGAAATCTTGCCATTTGCAACAACGTGGATGGAACTAGAGGGTATTATGCTAAGTGAAATAAGTCAGAGGAAGACAAATATATGCTTTCACTGATATATGGACTTTGAGGAACTCAACAGATGAACATAGGGGAGCAGAAGGTGCTTCAAAGCATCTGCAAAGAGGATGAAGTTTAGCAGAAGAAGGGAATGAGTCGAAAACCAAGAGCTGACCTAAGGAGCAGTTAGACCAAATCAGAGCAGATTTTGGGAGAAAGATTGCCAGGTGAAAAAATAAGAATAAGAATAAAAATCAGATTTTTATAAAACCTTAACTGAGAGATTATCCAGTGTATTTGAGTATTTGAAACAACTTTGCTGTTTGTACGTTGAATCAGTCTATTGTAGCATTTGGCGGGGGGGGG